AAGGAAGAATGTTCTAAAGATTGGTTGTTTTTTCACCCATCCGTTCATTCACTACACATCAGGGAAGACTGACTACATGTTAGGCTCAGCACAGCGCCCACGTGGTGATGGAGAATGAGTCAGACACTCCGCCAGCTTCACCATAGTGCGGAATAAGGGCAATGGCAGAGTCAGGAGCAGGCTCATATGTGAGTACTGGGGAGATGAATAAAATCCAGTTCTGGACCCAAGATGCTCACAGTCTGACAACACTTAAATTGAGAACGGCTGCTGTTTTCTGAATAATAACAGTGTCCCCGTTTCAAGCATTGTGCTGGGTTTATCATGTCATTTGTTTCTTGTCCTCAAAGCACCCCTAAATGAAGACAGTGTGATCTAATTTGCAGATAAAGACACTAAGGCCAGCTGCTGAGGCAGCCAGGTGCGGGGAGCAGCAGGGTAACATTCGCTGGCAGGATGAGTGGGGATTTTATATTGCACACCCTAAGTTAACAGTTTGAAAAAATCCCCAGTGGAAACATTTCTCCAAAATTTCTTTGCTGCCACCATGCCACACAGAACCTCACCCATCTTGGCGTCTCCTTTCTCTCTCAGATACTGTAACTTCCCTCTTTACTGAAGCCTGATGCCAGATAATATTCCTAACCCCAGCAGTCTTCACATTCTTTCCCAAAAAGGAAAACCTTACAGAAAGTCCTATATTTGCTTCTAAGAGACTAAAAGGGTATCCTTCTCCTTGCATACCAAGCGTATGCAAGGTAATGTATTCAAGGTGTCAGTAGACGTCAGTCCATTCTGTAAGTAGGAGATTCCCTACCGTTCTGCTGCTGATGTGCTACGAATGGGTCCCAGGTGTGCTGAGATGGAGATGCTCAGCCCCCAGGTGACCAGTGGTCCTGGAGCTGGTGTTTTCCTCTGTGATCCATATGTTTATTATATTTTCTATGTGTGTATGACTTTAAAAGGAATGGGCAGTAGTGTCTTAAGTCAACCCCTGAAATGTCTGGGGCTTGATGACGGTAATACTGTAAGCAGTTACCTGAGAGACAGAGAAAACACATGGGACAATGGGGATGGGGAAAGGGCTGACCAGGGTCGGAGATGCAATTGGTGACCTTGGAAGGATGACGCCTGCTGGTGCACTCAGTGACCCAACCCTCGAACTCATTAACAAGGCCCTGGTTGGCAGCTGTGCTCACAGCCACAAATGTGAACTCACGCTTAGTGAGAGCAAGACTCGGTCAGCTCATTGAAGATGCAAGGCAGGCTCGCCCCTTTGAACTTGTTCCTACTACAGCCATTTCATAATTTTGTGAGTTCTTAAAATCCTCTGAGAAAATACTAGCTTCAGAAGTACAGTAACACTTGTAATTCAGGTTACAATATTTTTATGAATTGCAAAAATCTAATAGTGCCTTAAAGAAACTACATAAAGATGGTGTCAGCAATTTCAGTATAAACTCCAGTTTCCAAAGGTTTGTGCATTCTGAAGAAATTCGCTTGAGGGTGAAACTTGGCACATGTCTGAGCCCCTGACCGTCCATACCTCATTTCATAGGTACTTACAAATGAGTCCTTCACATTCACTACATTTGGCATCTGGAATTTTTAGAAATAAAAAAAATGGCCTTAATAGCAGGTGGTTTCTGAGCTTAAAGTCAGGGCACACAATTCTCAAAGAATCAGAGAATTCAGGAATTCCAAATGTCTTGTTTTATAGATTCTGGTGTAGTAATACTGCATGCTGAGGGAAAGGGAGAAAAATTAAGGGAATAGATGCTAGAAAATGTTGGTATCCTCAGAAGAACACCAGACTTAGATCCCCTTCACAATTTTTCCTACCCCAAATCCCTGTTCTGCCTTATTCCTGCAACTGACCCATGGCCTTGTGTTATATAGGCTGGGCAAGCATATGTGGGCTTTGTATATGGGGCCTCTTTCCAAATAATCACTGAAAAGACAGCCAAGAATCTCACTTTGCTTTTTGAATCTTCATTTAAAGGGACTGGATTAAGTGCTCTACTAGCCAGAACATACCTAGAATAGAGAGACAAAGCCTGAAAAACGTTGCCCTTGGAGACAGTACCTATCACCAAGCTGGGGAGGCAAAAGTAAACTCTAGAAAAACCCTGGCATAGAAGTCTAAGAATCAAATCCAAGAGAGCAGAGGGAAGATTTACTAGGCAATTGTGATTCTCAGGAACTGCACAGATAAAGATGCATAGGCACCCTGCTTAGGGACAGACAACTGGGTGGATGCAGGGCATGTTGACAGTAAACTCCAACCTCAGAATGGGGAGCCCAGGAACCAAGCTGGAATTCTGAGGCCAGCACCGATTACAGAGGAGAAGCTGGGCACCTTGCCTAGGAGCAGGGGCCATGCTGCCAGTCTTCTGCTCACATGGCTGCCTCTATGGCCATGAACCGAGCAGACCCCACTTTGGGGTCTACCTGTACAAAGAGTGGGAACCAGTATAGCTCGATGGCTAAAAGCATTGTCTTTGTAGTCAAGCAAGTCTAGATTCAACTCTAGGCTCTTTATAGAATATGGCCTTGGACAAGTTGCCTGTGATTCCTCCTTTCTAAATGGCCATGATAGCTCTCAACTTACAGGTTTGTGGAAATGAAGAGATGATACAAAGAAAGCAGTGAACTCCTGGTAGCTGGAATAAGCAGCCAGACTTTTGATGACCATCTTCTTGAAAGGCAAAGTGCCCCTAGTGTCCTGCTACGTGCACTCCTTGGTTCAGGGGTAGGTGGTCCTGACGCTGGGAGTAAATTATTAGGCAGGCAGCCTGGGGCACATGAGGTCTAACACATCTCAGCTGCTACATCCCATAAATGTTTGATGCCCCATCCCCACAGATTGGGTTGGTTCTGATGAAGATCCACTTACTCCCATGAGAGTCTGAAATATTTCAGAATTGCCCCAGTTACAACACATGGACATGCTAACTCCAAAGAGCATTGTAGGCGAAAGTTAAGGAAGACACAGAAGTTTGAATAGCAGGGTCTTTTTTTTTTTTCCAACTCTTATGGCAATGCCCGTGGAAACAGTCATTTCTCAAAAGGCTATTCTGTAACAATTAAATCCCCTTAATTGAGGAGAAAATGAATAGAGAAAATAATGAATAATCCGTAAGGCTGGTTGAGAGTAAAGCTGACCAGCTGGTGGTCCTGAAACGAATGGAGCTAAAGCTTAGCCATTGTGATTTTAGGAAATAAAAGCCCCTCTCAGACCATGATGTACGATTCAGGGGCCCTGGAGGCCATGACCAAACTCTGAGATCTGATGGTAAACGAGACGGTCAGATGGCACCATCCTGGAGAAAAGGGTATCTGCATCTTCCTACTAAATATTCCTGTGGAAGCCAAAGCCTCTCCTTTAATAGGGACTTCATCTTCCTAGTACTTCCAAAACCAAAAGCAAAACTACTCAAACCTAGAAAAGCCAACCCTGTTCCCACCCCCACCCCTTTGTTTTTACCTAGGACAAAAGGAAATTCCCAGAATCCTGCTACCTACTTATAGCAAAGAGGTTTTGAGGAAGAGAGTGGGGGAATGGGTAGATTCTGAATTTTGGATACTAATTGCTGAGCATCAGATGAGATTGTATATGAAAGGTACTTAAGGATAAGCTCTTTACCTATCAGATATCTACGTCTATGTAATAAATATACTAAGCATTTTGTTGTATTGCCATTCACTGTTTCATTTGTTTGGCTACCTCACAGTGTACTTGGTGTCGTTCTAAATTCCAGGGTTTCAGTGGTGAATATATTTTAATTCTCACAGCAACCCTGAAAGGAACCCGAGACCCCAAGAGGTTAAAGCCCTATCCAGGGATTCAAACAATAAGTTATTTGCAGAGACCACATCACAAGTCTGTGTTCCATAAGGCACCAAAGAAATAGTAGCTGTTGAGCTTTCGATACAAAGATTAGGTCATGATCTATTGTATTCCCCACGATGCCTAACACAGTGCTAAGTTGTATCTCTTACCCAGTGCCAGACTTACAAGATGCTTATAAGATGAAAGTAAGGAACTTTCATTCCAAGATTATCATATGAACAGGGGACTTTCTGGGTGACAACTAGATCTTGGAAGCTGTCTCTTTGGCTTGTTAAAACCACACCACCATTTCAGAAATTTAAAATGTGATCATTTTTGCAGATACCGTATTTTTGTCTGTATATCACATTTTTTGAAGATGGGACATGATTAACAGAAAATGTCACATACATGGTAAATAGTGGGATCCTTGGGACTGACAAGAAATCCAAAGGGTTACTGATGAGTCTGTCGTTGCATAAAGTGAGAGCGAAAGACAGCGGCTCATAGTCTTCTCGGTAAGGTTTCAGGTGGCAGTTGGGTCAAAGGAGCCCACATGATAAGTGACATTACAATGAGTAAGATACCCTTTGGGATGACCCTTCTAGCAGGTGAATTACTTGTCCCATAGTTAAATTGAGAGGCCAGAGATTTAGTCAACGGCTGGATGGGTGACAATTCATGCAAGAGATACACAATTACCTTTGTCAGGACATCACTTCAATTTGTTGTGTGTGCTCATTACTCATCTTATTTCAGTTAATGAATTTTACCTAATTGATTGGAGTCACATGATTCCCAGATTGACATAAGGGTGATCAAAAACAATTTTGGTCTCTAATGACTGTTCCTTTTCTGTTATAACTCTAGAGAACCATCCAGAATATATGCACATGTGACCATTGCCACCTGTAACAAGCTGGCCCTCTCTCTTACCTCATGTTACATGAAGGAAAAGTTTTCGTGTTCAGTTAAATGTCTGTTTCCTGCACCTCACTGGAGATTTACTACACCACTAATACTATTATTTCTAAATGTTTATCATTTTTCTTTTTCTTAAATTCTCCCTTCTAGGTGTCCCCTTTCCCTCAGGTCATACCCAAATACTCATGATTCTTTTATCCTTTCATGTGAGCCTTCTCTGATCCTCTCTGTCACTCCATCTCAGAATCAAACTGCCAGATGAGAACACTGGACAGCGGCATCGGAACCTTCCCACTCCCAGACTCGGGAAATCGCTCAACGGGACGGTACATGTGCCAGCCAGACTTCCCAGAGGACGCTGAGCCCCTCCTGCCCCTCCAGCCAGCCCCTTCTGCAGCTGCTTCTATCAGAGCCCAAACCCTTGAACGTGAAGTGCCTTCCTCCGCAGACAGCCAGCGCCCTGCAGACAGCACCATCGTCCATTCCGCCTCCGACCCCGTCATGACTGCGAGAGGGATGCAACCTCTCCAAAGCCGCCTCCCCAAACCAGCCTCCTCAGGTAGAATGCCAGTCGCCTTTCAAATTAGATTGTTTTCCCACCCATAATATTGCACTTGCTGACAAAAATGGAAAACCTTCCACCAGGAGATGAATACGCGACCTCTGCCTGATGGGAGTGTGGATGTGTGGAAGTCCCTGCGTGTCCTTCACCAAAAAGTAAAACAATGTATATAAGACAACATCTACCCATAGTAGAATGTTAAGGAATGCCCACACATATAAGGAAACAAACATATAAGCACTGGTATATGGATATATGAATCAATTAAGAAAAACACACGACATATGTTTGTGGGATTTTATCTTATAAAACTTAGCTGAATGTAGACCAATTTAGGCCCAAGATATAAATTTAGCTAAAATATTGTTTGCCCTCTAACCAGAAACATAGGTCTTCTGGTGTATTCCCATCCTGTTCAAATATATTTATATGCTGAACTACAAAAACTGAGTTTGATATATCAGCAGTAGATTGTCTGTGGTAGAATGGAGTGAGCTTTCTCATTGAGAAGTACCATTCTTCGTCACAGTCAATCAAAACAAGCTGTCATGATTAAAGACAGGCCTAGGCTAAGGGTCAAAGTTTTTTCATTGTTCCCTCAAGATTAAAAATATTTATTGCAGCCAAGGATGACACTAAATAATTTTTAACTTGTACGGCTTATGTTGCTTTTACAACATGCATAAGCATATGAACTAGAACTCTAAATGGAACACTTTCATTTATGATTTGATGATTAGAAAGGAGCTGTAAGTAGAGATTATACAGTAGGCTTCTGAGAAATTAGAAAAGGAGTATTTTAATTAAACATCTTTGAATAAATGTGACTGGGCTATTCCCATGGCTGCATTTTTCCTTCATACAGTAATACCAACTGCCACGAGCATTTCATCACAAACTTCTCATTCCAAGCCAAAGCTACATTTTTAAAGGCTATAATGCATATTATTTTTGAAATAAATGTAGTGTTAATTAATGACATAGCCTCCAGACATTCAGGGGCGAAATCTTAGTTGTAGATTATGTGCTCCATGCCTGAATAGTCACATGTGTGACCTCAATTCAGTGGCAGGCTGCCGTAGACTCCATGATTAAACACTGTCATTATAACAAATTGAACAGAAAGCGCAAGCCTTGAATTGCTTCATAAGGAAGGGGTAGGAAGGAGATTGTTCTGATCTTGCTGCTAATATTCACCACACTGGGTTTTTAAGGGTTGTGTCTTAATTAAATTATAATGAAGCGTTGTAAAAAGGTAATGTATGGTAGACAGTAAGGTGAACACGCTGCAAGGAATTTTTGTGTTCCCATCCTGAAGTTTCCTGTTCACCAAATGATATCTGTGGTCCAGAGGCAGGGCCTACTTTCCAGTGCTTCTCTTCTCTGTAGCCATTTGTTATTCATGTTAAAAATTAGGGAATGGGGAACGAAGGGAAAATGGAGTGATACCTACTTGAGGGCAGTCACTTCGTGTTTAATGTGTACATTTGAATTGGTTTTTCTCTTATCCCCATATCAAAAAAGGAAGTAACTCTACAAATTTCAGAGTGCTGATGAAAACATAATTACTTTGCTTCTCCTCACAAGCAAAAGGCTGTGGAAAGGCTGTCACAGCATGTCCTGTTGATAATCATTAAGGTTGGAGGATAATGACAGCAATTCTCCTTTCTGGCATGATAAAGGAATACACTCTGCAGGTTAATCTCCTATTACTGGTAATGGGGAAACTTTCTTTAATAGTTCTCTGCTAATTATACCCTTGCTACTCAAAGTGGGGTCCATGGGCCAGCAGCATTGGCATCACCTGGGAGCGCCTCAGAAATGCAGAATCTCAGAGCTCACCCCACACCTACTGAATCAGCATCTACAGTTTAACAAAAGCTCAGCTAATACATATGTACATTAATGCCCTGCAAGATTTTCAAGAGCCCCCAAGCAAAGTTTCCTAAACCACAGTATTCAAAATGACCTTAATAATATCCTAAGAGAATAGGGGTTCCCTGCTCAAGTATGTTTGGGAAACGCTGCAAATTTGAATGGTCTTTGGAAACTATGACAATGCCCATTAGCACACTGAAGGTTCTGAAAAGTCCTCCAAAAAAGAAACTTGTTTGTTATTGGATGAATAACATTATTTGAGGAATAAACCAAGTGTTTCCCAAATGGTTTGCCCACTGAAACATTTTGAACCTGAAAAGTCTCTCAACATTTTGTGGAAAAGGAGTCCAAGAACAGTTTGCCTTTGGGTCTTGAAGGTGGACATCCGCTCTAGGTAGCATACGCAGTCATGCAGATGTTTGGGGTAGCACAGACTTGCAGGAGACGGAATGGCAGGAAGCCCAGCTTTCACTGTATTCAGACCTTTTTATTTTGACTGTCTCCCCCACCTCCCTCCCTACACTTGTGAAAGGTTGATGAAAGCTGATTTGTGATTCCATATACATTTCCTCATTTAGGAAAAATCAGTTCCCAAAAGCAGAACGAAGCAGAGCCGAGGCCGCAGACTTGTGCGTCATTCGAATATGCTGAAGACCCCATGGCAAGCGAGCGCCTTCCAGCCTGGGGGGGCGAAGATGCTGCCGCCGAGACCCAGGTGAGGGGGAGGCCGCGGGAAGGATGCCATCCACCTGTCGGTCTTGGTTGTGAAAAGTGACCTCCTTAAACACTTTTGTGATAGATTTCATTTTAAATGAAATTTTCTGTTGGTTTATTGAATACAAACCAAGGTCTAAGGCTCATCCCTTTCCCTGAATTATTAAGGAACACCATAGGTTCTTGGGACATCTTTATTCTAAAGAATTCAAAGTGCTTCTGGTCTGCACCCAAATTCTTGGGATATGGGTGCTCTCCCCTGATTAGACATTCACTCTCCCAAGCCCTAGGGCACCAGTTAAAATAATTCGTTTTTCCATTTATTTTATTATTTCAGCAGTTACTTTAACCTTTACCTTGCTCCCATGCAACAGTGAAAGTGGGTATAGTTCTCTTGCTTGCAGGGATGAGTAATCTGAGGCTTGGCATGGTCAAACGACTTGCCAGGATCAGTAAGACCTGAGTTTCATCAGTCCCCATCGTTGTTGATGTGGATTCTTCACCCACCCTGAGATGGCACACCCGGCCTCCTGACATGTTCCTGGAGAAAGGAGCTCACAGCTCAGAGATTCTTCGTTCCTCCCTTGGGGGTTACTTGGTGTTCCCTCCTGTTTACCTCTTCCAGCTGGTTACTTTGACCATAGTCAGCCTGTTCACTCCTTCTCCCCTCATGCTAGGGCTGGCCACTGCAGGGCTGGCCACTGCAGAGCCTTTGATGGTGCCTGGCAGTGGGGAGGGTGGAAGGACGTGTGGCTCCTTTCCCAGAGATTCCTGGCCCTTCCCTGACCCTTCCTGATTTTGCTGCCTTTGGCTCTCCCAATTCCAGCATCAAGAGTCCCCATCACTATTTTTACTAGAGTCTCTGCCCCACTGTGATGAAGAAATACCCACATTTGTCCACATCTGAGGTCCCCCACATCCAGCGTGCCTGAGCCTTCCTTTGGCCTTGAGTACCTCTTTGTGGAAATGAGACTGTGGGCAGGTAAAGGGGAGACCTCTGGGCCCATGGCCTCAATTTGCAGCAAAGAACGGCAACCCAGAGACCTGCCAGCTGTGTTCAGGGGCCGAGGGAAAGTAGCTGTGGAGCTGAGACTGGACTGGGCCTTCTGAATCCCCGTCCCACGCTCACAATGGCTGTTCCGCAGGACGCAGGTCTGAGAGGCAGAGGAAAAAACCATGGTCTTCTATCATGCCTTCAATTAAACACAGAGCTGTTGGGCTCCTCCAAGTCAGTGGGGCCCAGACTCAAGCGGGCACAAGAGTCACCTGGGGGCTACACAGCCTGCTGCCCGACATGTGCTCAGTGTCTAAGTTATTATTTGTGCAGTGAGATCTAAACATTTCTAACAGATTCTCAGGTGACGCTGGTGCCCTTGGTCCACAGAACACACTTGGCCAAGCATTGCTACCACTGCCCCAAGGGACTCTGCGCTTGTTTTGGGAACTGGAAAGTTGAGAAAATCATGGAAGACACCCAGAGTTGGAGAGAGAGAAAAGCATTCAAAAATAAGTTGATGACAGTGGCAAAGGGGTTTGATTAATGTCAAGAAAGTAAAAAAAGTAGTTAACTGTGTGTAGACCCCGAGGAAGACCTGTCCCCTCTATGTGCAATGGCTGGATGCTCCCTACACAACAGACACATCCACCAACAGACGCACCTGTCTAGGGTCCCCTTGTCATCCTGCACCAGCTTTGCCCACTGGATATCCTGCCCTGACTTGTAAGAGTCACCACTGTAGGGTTGGAACTTAGAACCCTACTTCTTTGACTGCTAGGTCAGGAAAGTTTGAAGTAAGAATTAGCTGTATATTTCCCGTACTCAGCATGGTGCCTGGTTCAATTAGTGTCTGTTGAAAGGAGGTATGAAAGAATGTGTCTCCTCATACCCAGAAAGTGTGACTGGAGTCCTTTTGGAACTCTGGACACAGGGTCCCCTGGAACCACAGTCACTGGACTTGTCCTCCTTCATGGACTTAATCCTTGCTAGACTACTGGTGCCTCCAGTACTGAGCTCTCCACCCCTAAAACATAGCACACTGCCTGGCACAGAGTAGGTACTCAGCAAGCACCCACTGAATGGGTGGGTGGGTGGCTAAATGAAGGAAGAAAGGAAATGAGTGACCACTTAAATTTATGACCCAGCCAAGGGAGCTTATATCCTAAGATGTGTTTTGACAATTCCCAATCAAATGACACCTTCCCAAAGAAACTTTAGAGACCCAACCAAGCATCTGTACCTGAGCTGTTGGGGAGAGGTGGGGAATAATAAACTAACAGAGCAATCGACAAACAGAAAAGAGGGTCCTAGATACCCTCAGTTCAACACGTAGGAGTCACAGTCCCGGATCCAGCGTTCTGCTTGTGTGCACAGAAGGAAGAACTCTTCATACGCAGTCAGCCGACTCAGCAATGCCTGAGCACGGCATTATTGCCACCTGGGGGGAGGGGGAGGGCTGTGTGTTCATATGAGCAAGAGGGGCACTGGGTCCCTCGCCCCACTCACTGGCAGCAGATTAGAGGACTGCGTAGCGTCAGCAATTGCTTACTTTCCTAAAGGCCACTGTCCTTTGGGGGGCTAGAAAAAAATTATAAATTAGGCAAACATTTATTCATTTGTTCCCAAGGTTGACTGTTTTAATACCCTCTGATACTTGAAAGCCAATGATGAGATCAGTTAAATAAATAAGCCATTAGACTTGGAACAGCAGCTCGTAATAGGCACTTGAGAGAAACAAGACCCTATCAAGACGTGTACAGAATGCAGAGCAGGTAACAGGGGGACTTTCCTGGTCCCAGGACAATGGCCGAGTGTCGTCTGCACCTTCATCATTGCAAGCCAGTTCCAGGGCCCTGGTCACTGAGTAGACCGCATTGGCCCTGGGAGGCAGAGCAACCGGCAAAGTAGTGTCGTTCTTGGGTGGGGTGGGCCGGTTGGTGGGAATGGGATTCTGTGCTCACAGCCAGCCAGGTGTGACCTGTTCACATCCTCACAGGATGGTCTGCACGTTTGGTTTGTACAACTAATCTTAACAGTCTCATGTTACTCATTTAGGACAAGGTACCCAGAATGTGTGCGTACTCTGCCAGCGATGGCAGTGATAGTGACAGTGACCTGGACTGTGGAGATAATGGTTTTGGAGCTGGAAGGGGACAGTTAGTGAAAGCACTGAAGAGCGCCGCCCCAGGTAACGCACGGGAGCCTGCGGGACACGCAGGGACGCCCTGAGTGTGCCTTTCGCTGTGCCCCACCCCACCCTCCTTGATGTTACATTTTTGCTCCGTGTCTCTCCTGAGATCTAATTTTCTGGTTCGTACAGATTGTGCACATCAATTTTTTTCTGCTACAATCTTCATGACATTGCAGTGCAGTCTGTAAGGATTTTATTCTGAAATCCGGCATCTCTAAAACAGCCTCCAATTGAGTTATGTCAATAATGAAGGAATGACTGTAAAGATAACTTTGTTCTTAATTACATACTGTGGCAACTTAAATCAGCAGTGAGCCATGGCTGAGACTTCCACACTCTCTGCTAACACCATGCTGTGTAGCTCTGGACCTGTTGGCTGTGCCGTCATGCACAGGTCTGTCTGTGAGGTCGAAGCTTCCTCACTATCTTTTTCTTTGAATCAGAATTGGCAGTAGCAAAATCATCATCCCTAGGCATTGAAAAATATGTTTATTCAGATGGCACTTCCTTACAAATACAAGAGGACAGATGAATCCCTAATGCAAAATGTGGTCTGGGGTCTGCTTTTCTTCTAATCCATTCTGGATTGTCAGAAACATTTTAACGATGCAATGGAGACTCATTCTCTTCCTACTAATCAACTTTTTCTCAAATACTAACCTAGAAATTACGTGATGAAACCATGATTTTCTTTTCCAAAGTAAGGCAGATATGGTGCTTTAAGGAAAAACATAATCTAGCAACCATGTGTGTTTCCAGTTGTGTTTCCAATTTTCAGATAATCTCGACATTGGTAACATGAGGTGTGGGGGGTCAGACTGGCATATAAGAAGAGCCCATTAACCTGAACCCACCACTTTGTTCCTTGCTTCTTGCAAGCCGTCAGAGAAGCAGGACCAATGTCTGAATCATGCAAAGGCTTACCAGGAAGAAAGCGGTGAATACCCCTGATATTTTAGTGAGATGTCGTCTCCGTTTCCCCATTGGCTCTCTGTGGTTCATCAGTGTCCCTCTGGTTGTGACAGGGGAAGGGGAGTTCATTGTCATGGGGCTTGCCCAGTGAAGACACTAGACCAGGCCAGCTCCTAGTCCGTGCTCTTCCCTTGAACTCCCATGGGTCGCCGGTGAATTGCTTCATCTCACCAACCCTCCGCCGCCCATCCAAGAGCAATTTCCAGGGCCCTTCGGGGCTCTCAAACTCTCTCCATTTGTTATTGAACAAATATTTGTTGAAAGCTTCCTCTGGGAAGTTGTCTAGTGGTGAGTAAATGGACGGAGATCCCCGCCTGACGGTAAACAATATGTAAAATAACCTAATAAATGCATTATATTTAATTTGTTCCAAGGTGGTAAGTACCATGGAGAAAACAGGTAGAGCAGAGCAAGGGAGAGTGGGAGTGCTGGGGTCGCGGGAGGTTGTAATTGAAATGCAGCACCCTCACTGAGGAGGTGACTTTTGAGCAGAGAGCTAATGCAGGAGAGAGAGCGAGCTGGGAGGATGTGTGGGGAAGGGCGTTCCCGGCAGAGGGAACAGCCAGTGTGGAGGATCTGAGGCAGAGCTTGCGCAGAGTCCAGTAGCAGCAGGGGGCAGGGGGCCGTGCCACTGCAGAGAGAGCGAGTCAGAAGACTGATCAGATGGGGTCAGAAGAGCAGAGGGGCCAGAGCTCATGGGACCTCATGTGCCTTTCCGAGAGCTGACTTCTCCTGTGAGAGACATGCACAGAGACTTTAGACAACCTTGAGCTCAGGAGTGGCATGACGTGCAGTGTTTTAAAGGGATCCCTCCCACTACCTTCTTGTGAAGACGGAAGAAGCCAGAACTACTAAAAGGCTGTTGCAGGCGAGAGATGTTTGTTATTGGCTGGGACCAGGCAGTGGCAGTGGACTTGCTAATAGACCTCCCACGTCGATGGACGTGCTCTGTGTCTGCACTGGTCAGCACTGGCCACTGGCCGTTAAGCACTGGAAACAACAGCCAGTGTGAGGAAGGAAGTTTTATACTTGTTTTCCTAAGAGTTCTCACTTGGGCCATTCCTTTTTTTTCCCTCTTTTTAATTTTGTTAAAATTTT